TCATAATAAGGTACGAGGAGGGAAATGAGTTCATTCATATGTGGGATTACAAGAGAGAATGAGTAGCGGAAGCAATCCCTAAATTCCTAAGACTTTCCATTTTCTATTCTACGCTGCAATTGATGATTCAATTAGGTTTTAATTTAAATTATGAATGTGTTTGTTGTATTGTTTGGTAAATTGATGATCTGGATGATAATTAAATTCATTGGGATGCCTCTATGGGTTAGGGTTCTTGAGTAATTTAATTATTGTTAATTGGTATGTAAATTCATGAATTGAAGTTATATAACGCGTTTTTGGGTAAAAAAAAATAAGTGTTTCTAACCGATTGGATTGGTAAAAAGATGATTATATGATTACTTATGAATTTTGGTGATATTTTGTTCATGTTGCGTATCTGGAAAACGCATTAGGCACTAGACTTGAGTTCTTGGTGTTGGGCTTGCATTCATACGGATGAATGCGAAACCTAGATGAGGTTAAGCTGGACGTGAAATGTATCACACCGGGTGTGACAAATTTGGTGAGTTTCTGTCTTGCCTTAATGTTGGACATGACTCACTAAAGCCGAGCGTGAGAGGGACATGGTGCTCTCTATTTGCTCTTAGTGTCGGGGTGGTTGTTTGAAGTCAGGTGTGAAAATATTATGTACCTTTTATTTTGGCTTAGAGGCAAGCGTGGCCTGGTGAAGCCTAGCACAGATTAGAAATATGTTGTTATATTGATGAATTATGATGATGGTTATGAATTGTATGATGTCCAATAATGATTATTGTACGAATAAGTATGAATTATGTGTATTTGGATGAGTTGATGTGCAAAATGTGATTGAGTGTGGAATTGTTGTAAGATATGGCTCTATATCTAATTGTGCATTGGCATGGATATGAATAATGAATGGATGAGGTAACATGACATGAGCATTTGTGCATATTGCATACATATTTACCATGGTCATAAGTGGTGATTAACAGGGAATGCCAAGAGTGGTGATTTTATTATTATACACTGGCCATAAGTGGTGATTAACAATGTGACATCGATCAAAAATGATGTAAACAGTGTGGCCAGGTGTGACGCTGCCTGAGAAGATTGATGAAGTTCACCCATTGTGTGGTGTTCTGAGTTGATGCTTCTTAGGAAGTGCATTGCATATGCATTAACATGAGTATAAGCATGATGCATGAGTTGTATGATGATGTGATAGGGATGATATTAATTAATGGATATATGTGATAATGACACTATTGAGATTGGTTGTTACTAGAGTGGTATGTGGGTCAATTATATGTTAGGGTGGGATTCTTTTCTTGCGTCGTATATATGAATAACCATTTTTATCACCTGTATATATTGTGGTTTATTTTAGGTAGTGGGATAAGTGATGAAGGCAACACTCAAGGTGCCGAGAGTTGAAGCGACGAGTTTGCTCTGATAATGTGACATTGGGGCAATGGCTTTAGAATAAGATTCTATCTTTTCATGTTGATTACCGTTTCTTTTCTTATTTAAACACTATTGAAAACCTTATGTTTTATAATTATTTTTATTTGGTTGGATGTTCAGAGGTAGATTACATGTGAACTTATTTTACTTGAGTTGTTAATGAATCTTTTTCTTATCTAATTGTTTTATATGTTGGGGGTAGAACGAGTGTCACACTAAATGCTTTCAAAATTGTTTTATATAATATTTATTATAGAAATATGTGCTTTTATTATATTTTGTTATAGTAAGTATTTAGAGAAAACATGTGTTTTATTATTATTTCTTTTATGTATTATATTTTATTTATAATTGTGTTGGAAAAATATATTTATTTTATATATTAATTTATAAGTTTTAATATTGAGTGAAGGAGAGTGAACCATGGTTATTTATAAGTCTACATTGTTCTAATTGATGATATATGTTTAATTTTATGTATTGAACTAATCTATAGATCTTGAATTGTCCATGGGTTTCTATGAGAAGCCTAGGGAATAAATGTGTTGATTAATAAGGGATAATTGAGATGAGCATATGAGAATGTGAAATTGATGTTAGATTTGAGTAATTGATGGGATAACAGAGTAGTTTTAGTGGGTGACTACCTTTGATGGCATAACAGTTCATTCCTAAATTACTTTAGTGGGTGACTACCTTTGATGGAGTACTTTTGTTTACTTAAATGAACCAAAGTAATTAATCAATAGAAGAAAGAAAGTGGAGATCATACTCAGAGTTTATCTATGTCAATGCATTTATCAAAACATCCAGAATAAGAGGCTCAACAGTTCCAATATCCACCCTGTTATACCATAAGAACAAATTGGTATTTGTAATTCACCTTACTGATAGAAAAGAATGGCTCAATCCAAGAGGGGGGTGAATTGGATTCAATGACACTTAAAAAAATTTCAGAGTTGAAGGATCTTTATTTCACTCAAAACTTTTCTAATATGAATTCTCAATGAAGTTAATTGAACCTTTAATGAATGGGAATGACTCATATATGAATTCTTGATTAATCTTTATTGAATTTAGTCCAAGAAACAACTAATATGCAATTGTAATGTTTCAGTTTAAACCATTATTAATCATTCAAGCATATCAATCAAGACCAGCCAATTTAGCATTCAATTAAAGATGATTCAAGGTAAGAGATAAAGATGAGAGAAGAATGCAAAGTGTTTTATCCTGGTTTAGCCACTCCACATGTGACCTACATCCAGTCCTCAATCATAACTTGATCAAGATTTGTTCCACTATCTCAATGAAGAAGTTTTACAAGCATACCACACACGCATACACTCCTACATTCAAGATAGATACTTTCTTTCTCCCAAGAAAGCACTTCTTGTAGAAACCTACTACAAGAATTCCTTACCACTTGAGACACCTACTCAAGATTTCTTTAAACTTTACACAAATAATTAAAGGAACAAATTCACATGGAAGCTGAGAAAATAAGACTGTGAATTCTTGACACATCTTAATCCTTCTCTTCCAAGAATGTAGTGATAATGATTATTTCTCTCAAAGCATTTCACACGATATTTCTCTTCTTGGTTTCACAAAGAAAACACCCAAGAAGGTCACAAAGACTTTACACAATCAGTTTTTCTCTCTTTTTGTTTTCAGTTCATCTTACTTATGAAGTTTCAAAGTGTGAAAACTATTTATAAAGTTTTCCAGACTCGGATAATCGATTATTTCTTAGGATAATTGATTATTTTGTTCTTCATGATTTCTGGAAACCACTCAAGAATAGAATAATCGATTATTTTGCAGGATAATCGATTATTCTAGAGGGTACTTCCTAGAATAATCGATTATTTCTCAGATAATCGATTATTACAGCAAGGTTCCCTGAACCTCTTGCTAGAATAATAGATTATTCATAATGATAATTGATTATTTTATTCAAAAACTAAATTTCACACTTTTAGAAAACTTTCTAAACCTTTCCAAGTCACTTAGATCATCATCATACTCACTCTTAGTTAATTGAGATTAAGATTCACTCTAGCACAAAGCATACACATGCAAAAATAACTCCAACAAGACAACACAAAACATAAACTTATAAGTTATCGCTATTACATTTTGTATTCTTTCATAGCTTCCTTTCTTGACTAGCTTGCCCTTTGTTCTTGGCTTGTATCCTTTGTTATCATCAAAACTTCTCAGATCTTCAGAGCAGAGCTTGATTCATCACCCATGAATCTCAACACTTACATCAGGGTGTATAACAAAGCATTGACAAGGAATATGAAATTGTTGCTTCACTATATTCGAGCCAAGTTTTCTTGAACCTTGAGATCCCAAATGTTGTAAAATGTACTTGGTTCTACATTTGCTCCCTGAATGTAATCATAACTCGGTTTTGCTTCCAATGAATACTGTGACAACTGTAGGAACAATGCTAGTTCTATAAGCAACAATGTCATTTTTTTTAAAATTCACAAAAAAATGTGAATAAATAAAGGGAAAAGGAGAAAGAAATTTTGGTATCCATAGTAGAAGAGGAAACTTACTTGCATATTCATGGAATTGCATCCACCAAGACGTCTTATAATGTGCCACGCTCGAATTGTCTGCTAGGACCCAAATTTAACATTATTTTTGACTAAAAGTACATGTGCATAATGCACCATGGAGAAAGTACATCAAAATATTCATAGAGAAAAGTTACTTTCATCACAAACTAAAGAGACATCCTTTTTCAGTGGAATGTTGTAAAATTCAAACCATATATATGAGTTTCAAAAATCAAATATGCAAATACAAGCATTAGGTGTAAGACAAACAAAAATAATTTTTTGATAAAAAAGAAAAGTGAAATATTTAATTTTTGTATCATGTGCATTCTAACTCGGCAAGAAAAAAAAGATCGTTATCAAATGAAACATGGACAATCCACTCTAGGGGCTAAAAATAAAATGTGAAAGGCCTTGATTATCATAGTTGATAGTGCATGAAATTGACATTAACAATGATCTCTATAAGATTCAAAATGTCTTAAATATTTGATTGTCAATGAAAATAGGAAAACAAAAAACAAGAAACCCGTAAATAGGAAAACATGTCAAAATTATCTGGTTTTCCTACGAATGACAATTAAGAAAACATGGGTGCAAAAGAAGTTTGTGATAAACCTCCAATTAAATGTGTGTATAACAAAAGGGGAGAGAAGGGCAACAAAGGAATTTAACCTAAGAATGTTGAGGCAAATGAATAGGCATTTAGTGATAGAAGAGGGAATAAACAGGCGACAAGGAGAATTTCCAAAGCAACAAGCTATTAATAGGAATGGAAATAATATATATGGAAGAGGAGGTGGGAAGAATGTAGGAATAATCATTTGCATTGTAAGAAAGGTAACAGAGGCTCATAATTCTTTCTAAAAGGGAACTATTATCTTTCTATTTTCTTCTTTTCCTGTTTAAGAAGACTGGTTTACATCCAATATTATGTTTTTCTGTTTGTCTTAATCTAGATTGTATGCATCATTTTGTTAGTAGAGATCCTAATCCAATAGATCTTGAATAACACAAACAAGGATGGAAGAAAGATTAGAAAGAGATAGTAAGAAGAAGAGTGCATTCTTGGAAAGAATTCTATGCTAGAGGTATCCAAAATCCAAATGATTTTTCCCTCATTCTTCTATCCCTCATTTCCATATTAATTCTTTCCACTCCCGCTAATTACCTATTCATTTACCATAACCTCCTTAGGTGAATGTTCCTTGCTACATTTTATTCTCTTCACTCCCACTAACTGCCTACTTATTTTTTATAATCCTCTTATAGGTGAAGCTTTGGTTTTTGGCTGAGCTAAATGATGTCATGTGATCCATGTGCTTGCTTAGTGGGATGAGACTTTGTTATTGGTGAGGAATGTAATCCTCTTATAGGTAAATTTTCCTTTCTTCTCTCTTATCCCTTCTGTTATAATATTATAATAAGGGGGCTCTCTCATCTGTTGAGTTTAAAGCTCTCTTGAAGAAGTAGTTTTAGTTTTAATGTAGCTTTGTTTAAGTTTGCTTCATTTTATATTTTTGGCCTATGTTAAAAGGATATTGTATTGGTTGTTTCATAAGACTTAGGCTTGTATGTGTTTGCTTGTTATGATCATTTATTTTCAAAACTTATCTTGTTTTTTAGTATACATATCTCAATGATTCTCATTTTATGTAAAAACATAATGTAATAGATGATCATGTATGGTAATAGATTATAAAGTGTTTTAACATTAAATAAAACTTGGAATCATTCAAAAGAATTCAATGTTAAGTCAAGTAATAAATTATCATTTCAGGTAATAGATTACTAAAACTTAGAATCCTCACTATTTTAATTGATTATCATGATTGGTAATAGATTATCATGGTGACTTCTGGGTGAAACAAGCAATTTTGCATCGGGTTAATCAATTACCCTATGTAGTAATTGATTACCACTATGAAAATTGAGTAATATGCCTATTGAGAAACACAGGATAATTGATTACCATGCTTGGTAATAGATTACCTCTGTTCTAAAATCAATGTGGTTTCAATTTTTAAGAATCTAATAGTAGATTACCTGCACAGGTAATAGATTATAACTATTACAAAATTTTTAAATGTTGAAATCCTCTTTGCACTATAAATATAACTCTTTTCAAAAACTTAAAAGAGAGATCAAATATACTTTGAAAAATATTTTTAGAACAAGAAAATGTCACATACTTTACAGAAAGAATACAAGTGTTAAAGATTGATTAAAGAAAACGAGTTCTTGAAAGATTTCAAGAAGTTTATGAGCTAATCTTTGTTCAAGATCATTCTACACATATCAGGTGTATTCTCTCTGATCTTATATCTTTGTTTTTACTTTTGGTTGAATTACTCTTTAAGATAGGGTGTATCAAGAATAGTTAAGAGAAATCTTGAGACTAGGTTTTTCTCAAGTAGGTTCTTGTGGGGTGCAAGAATCTTTGTTTGTGAAATCTTATGGATTCAAGATTGTGTTTGATTTTCATTTTGATTGTAATATTGTTTGTACATGGTGTGTGTAAAGAATATTATAGTGGAATGCCTTGATTTAGTGGTGTGCTAAGTGTAGACACCCAATTTCGTCCGGGGGGCATACAAACGAAGAAATGGACGTCTATTATCAAGAAAAGGAGCTCCCAATCATGGAAATAACAGGACATGACATTAGAAGGCTAAAAGCTCAAAAAAGCTGGTTTTAGTAGCCCGGAACGGGCTGTTCCAAAACTGGAACGGGCCGTTCCAATTTACAAAAAGAGCCTAAAACCCTAAACTGGAATGGGCCGTTCCAAAATTGGAACGGGCCGTTCCAGGCTCTTTAAAAAAGGCTAAAAAATACATTTGGAACGGGCCGTTCCTAAATTGGAACTGGCCGTTCCAAATAACAAAAAAGGCTTAAATCTTTAATTTGGAACGGGCCGTTCCAGAATGACATTTATGTGTTAAACGCGCCTCTGGAACGGGACGTTCCGATTTCAGAACGGCCCGTTCCAATACACTAAATTAACACATAACGGCCAGATCCAGAACGGGCCGTTCCGATTTCGGAACGGGCCGTTCTGGACCCTGTCTGAAGCCTATAAATAG